GATGGATTGCCATGCAGCTATCAATGGATGGCACCATTTTTGTACTACCTGCCAGCTTGCCTGTCTGCCTATCTAATCTAATCCAGTGTTTAGTGTAGTTGTTTTAAAATGTTTAAAACAAATATTTGCAACCTAATTTAATTGTATCTACTGTGGGAACATGACATCACTAAATCTACATTGGTTCAAAGTAGAAGAACAGCTCAACAATAATTTGTTCATTAGATGTAAAGGACCCATTAAAAAGTATGTGATAGGCAGCTGGTTGGCTCTTAAAGAGCTGCAGCTCTCTCTAATCTGGTCAATAGTCTAATTTTGTATCCACTGTCTACTGTTCTCTGTGCCACTGTCTCTGGAGACCGTCGCCAAAGAGAAAAAGAGCTTGATACAATTAATTCACCTCAGACCCTCATCACCACCTTTGTTTATTTGTCCTTTCTCAGCGTTCTCACCTTACATCCATCCTTCCATCACTACCCTCCCTTCTCTAGGTCTCTCTCTCTCCCTCGTTCAGTGACCAGCTGCTTTCCTCTTTTCCAACTTATCCACCACTACCTGGCATGGAGGACCAGCACACCCCACCCCACCCCTCCTGGTCCCGCAGGTAAACCAAAGACGCCCGGGGCACACCCTGGCTAGGAAAGGCCCTGGATCACCTTACGGCCTAGCTGAAAAGGACCCTTTCTAAAACAGCGTGTACATCACAGCCCCAGTTTGAACAAAGGGCCAGGGGAGTCAAGGGACCAGACCCCCTTTCAGGGCTTTGTCTGTCTGCCTATTCTGAGCTCTGAATCAGATAGAGACTTGGACTGCACTCAAGAACCGGGATTGGAGAAACATGACATAGGCTATACACAAGTGAGGAAGTCATAAGATCAAGGGATGCAGGAGATTTCAGTGCATTTTAACAAATGTTTAAAAAGCAATATGTAACCAGAATGGAAATAAGTCTTTACAACTTAACCAAGCATTGATTTAACATCTAAATTAGAAGCAGACAAAATTAACTTAAAAGGTCGACTTTTTTAGATTACTAACTTAGACATAACATTTATTTCAACGGCATTTTAATTTTAACTATATTTCAGTGTGAAGCATGTCATTTGTAGAATACAGGGGATCATTTTTGTAAAAGTCTTATTACTGTCCTCAGTTTACATGCATTTTGTAAAAGTATCGGTGCATTCAAGGAGACATGGAGCACTAATCCTGGGTCCCACTGACAAACCATACCTTACAGAGGAAACCACTTTACTCCACAGGTAGGTAAAGTGACCTGTGTGTGTGTGGGGGGGGGGGGGGGGTGATATGGCTCAGTCAGAGCAAAGCTTAAGTACCTGAAAATCCCCCTCTTAACCTTCAATCTCCCACTGAACTGCTGCTGAAATTCAATTCAAAGAGCCGGCACAGACTGACAGCCCACATCAGAGACGACAGGAGAGACAACATATAACACACACAACATTCATAAGTAACGACTCAAATTATATAAATTTGCATTTTGGTGAGACAAGCAAGAGCAGTTTAAAATGAAGCCCTCTTTTTGGCAGGTGGTTGCGTATTAAAAATATAAGAGTTCCTTCCACATTTTCGTATAGCACGTCAAAATAGGCTGGGGGACTTGCAACTGACTTTTTTTTAATGGTCGAATTGATGGCTCAGAGGCCAAGATATCCAACTTTTATGCTCTGCTAAGGTGTCATGCTCCAAAAGCCTGATCCTACACCTTTCCATAGTGGGTTGAGTTTTCCTTTAATCAGTGAAGCTTTAAGGGGAAAACCCACCTTAATAAATCATTCATGTTGTAATATCCCAATAATCTTAGGAAGTGAATGCTAATTTGTTAAATACAGACAGCTGTATTTCTCACCTGAAATATTAACAATATGTGATGGTTTCATCAGGAGAAACCTTTTATGCTGTCACTGAATTTGTGGTACTAGCGTTTCTATTTGAGCTATTCCATTCAGATGTCCAACTCTGTACAGCATTTGCAAGAGAATAATAAAAATGTATAAGCAATGGCTATGACTGAATGTGGGGTTAAAAGAACTAATGCATACATTAATTTGGAAAATACTGTGGAGGTTGAACTGTGTCATTTAGCAGTGACAAGTGGGTGATTTGTACTTTAGGAACTGGTCAGCAGAGGGCGTTATAAACTCTTAAATACTGTCGGACTGTGCAACTATGCATTCCCACAATAACTCATGTGGAGGTGGTAGAACAACTTCAGAACTTTTAACTTTCTATAAACAGTTGGCTTAGTTTTTGATTTGCAAAGAACTTTTCTTCACACAAAGCTTATAATATGTAATAAAAAAAATAATGTGTATGAAAATAGAATTTATAGATGTATTTAATATATCGATTATTTAATACAGTCCCTGTTGCAAAATAACCCCAACCCTGCAGGACTGCTGATAAATTCAGCCATGTTGCATTTATGCTGTTCTCAGCAGTAGTATACTAAAATAAAAGTGATCAGGCTGATTAGGTAAAATTAATTATTGCACCAAAAATCTGCATCTGATACTGCAGCAAATATTGTCTAATTGAAATAAATTTTATAGCTTTAACCAATTAAGTATGCCTCTGTCATATCCTTGTAGTGACAGTCCTAGTGATTTGCATGAGCAGCCCTCAGTACAGGGGAAGTCAATTCACCTCTTGTCATGCTGGCACGAGGTCACACCATTATGTGATAGTGAGGTAAACATCCACCAATAACATTTCTTGTACTCGTTGTTATGTATAATGGATTACTCACTGTCCCTCTCACACATTCTCTGTGGCTCACGCAACATTTTTAACCGTGGCAAAATAGGTCAGTATTGCTGCATGTTTGATTAGGATGGCATTGGGAAGCCAGTGAAAGGTATAGTTGTAGCTCTTTACTCTGTGTTTGCTGTCAGATTACAATATTTCTGCCCATGCATCTTTCTGTGTAAGGATGTTATTTTTAAAGCAAATAAACATTTGCAAACATCATGGCTCCAAAATCCTTCTAAATAAACCACTATGATCAGATACATAAGACAAAATTGTGTGTTTAAGACATCAATTCAAACAGTTGTAGGTCTACATTGTAAAGGGAAGATTAAAGTGGAGAAACATAAGACCTTTAATATGAAAAAAACTCTTATGAAATACATAAATCAGACATTGTACACTGCTCAAAAAAATAAAGGGAACACTTAAACAACACAATGTAACTCCAAGTCAATCACACTCCTGTGAAATCAAACTGTCCACTTAGGAAGCAACACTGATTGACAATCAATTTCACATGCTGTTGTGCAAATAGAATAGACAACAGGTGGAAATTATAGGTAATTAGCAAGACACCCCAATAAAGAAGTGGTTCTGCAGGTGGTGACCACAGACCACTTCTCAGTTCCTATGCTTCCTGGCTGATGTTTTGGTCACCTTTGAATGCTGGCGGTGCTTTCACTCTAGTGGTAGCATGAGACGGAGTCTACAACCCACACAAGTGGCTCAGGTAGTGCAGCTCATCCAGGATGGCACATCAATGCGAGCTGCGGCAAGAAGGTTTGCTGTGTCTGTCAGCGTAGTGTCCAGAGCATGGAGGCGCTACAGGAGACAGGCCAGTACATCAGGAGACGTGGAGGAGGCCGTAGGAGGGCAACAACCCAGCAGCAGGACCGCTACCTCCGCCTTTGTGCAAGGAGGAGCAGGAGGAGCACTGCCAGAGCCCTGCAAAATGACCTCCAGCAGGCCACAAATGTGCATGTGTCTGCTCAAACGGTCAGAAACAGACTCCATGAGGGTGGTACGAGGGCCCGACGTCCACAGGTGGGGGTTGTGCTTACAACACCGTGCAGGACGTTTGGCATTTGCCAGAGAACACCAAGATTGGCAAATTCGCCACTGGCGAGCATGCCCAGGCGTTGTAGGGAGGTTATACAGGCACGTGGAGGCCACACACACTTCTGAGCCTCATTTTGACTTGTTTTAAGGACATTACATCAAAGTTGGATCGGCCTGTAGTGTGGTTTTCCACTGTGATTTTGAGTGTGACTCCAAATCCAGACCTCCATGGGTTGATAAATTTGATTTCCATTGATAATTTTTGTGTGATTTTGTTGTCAGCACATTCAACGATGTAAAGAAAGGAGTATTTAAGGAGATTATTTCATTCATTCAGATCTAGGATGTGTTATTTTAGTGTTCCCTTTTATTATTTTGAGCAGTGTATCAATATATGCCTTAATTTGTAGGAGCACAGTAATACCATTATCTTACACATAATGCAATTTTTTTTAAACCCCAGAAACCAAGGCCTTGAAGTGAACAGGTTAAACTGATTGTTTCTTGTCAAATGCAGAAAGTAACAAAAAGTAGTGTTTTTGCAGTACATTGTATACTTGCTACTACACTTCGGGTTATTAATGTTGTGGGTCTTACACTAGCCATCCCCTTTACAATCATCATGACAGAAAGGTACAAACTAATCTGCACAGCTTCTTGCTCCCACAATGATTTATCTATTCACAGAGACTGTACTTCCACAAGCATCATTTAATATAGCCTACTTAGGCTATCACACAGGATGAAACTGAGCATGTATTCATTTTCAGAGGACAATGTTGCCCAATCATCATCATCAGCCACGGGCGATAATAATCAGAAATCAATAAACAGTTAGACAAAACCTCATAATGGATTTTAAAATATAACAAATAATGAATACGATAAAACATATACTAAAAAGAAGGAAAACATTAAGAAGAAAATGAAGCTTTTAAAAGAATAGGATATAAGTGAAAAAAATAAATTAAAATAAGGCAGTGTTCTATTTTTTTTATGTGCGTTCTCCTTAATGAATGGTGAATTAAAAAGGAATTTTAAAACATCTGTAAGAAAGTGTGTTTGTGCAATTTGGACGAACAGCGTCTGTCAGACAGCGTTGAGGGTATACAACACATGCGCGATGATGGGCTGGATGACATTGCGGAAGGGCTGAATCCTGACTCCTCCTCTTCACAATAACTCACAAAGCTTCCTCAAAATCAGCAACAGAGTCACCTGGCGGATCTGAAGCCGCCCGAGTTCAGGGAAGGTCCCGCTTCTGAGATGGCCCAGGCGAATATCTCAGTGACGGAGAACCAGTTCAGGTGTCCGGTCTGCCTGGAGATCCTGAAGGACCCGGTGTCCACCCCCTGCGGACACACCTACTGCATGTCGTGCATCAACAACTACTGGGACCAGGCGAATTCGGGACAGTTCAGATGCCCCCAGTGCCGGGAGACGTTTAGCCCTCGGCCGGTGCTGCGGAGGAACACGGTGCTCGCCGAGGTCGTCGACAAACTCAAGCTGAGCGAAATGATCACGGCGCCGGAGCTGTACATGGGGGGAGTCGGGGAAGTACCGTGCGACTTCTGCCCGGTGGAGAGCAAGCTTAGGGCGGGTAAGTCGTGCCTAGTTTGCCTGGCGTCCTTCTGCGAGCTCCACGTCCTGCCGCACCGGGAGGTTGGCACGCTGCGGCGGCACAAGCTAGTGGCCGCGGTGGAGTGTCTGGCGGAGCGGCTGTGCGCCCAGCACCGCCTGGGTCTGGAGCCCGCGGGGGGAGACTCAGACGCTGAGGCCGCGGTGGAGTGGATCGGGGACTGCCCGCTGTGCGAGGCGGACCAGGAGGAAGTGCATAACGTGGACGCGCAGAGAGCCAGGCGACAGGTAGAGACACACACTTGAGGTGTCAGGATATTACGGATGTAGAAGTTTATCCTACTATTGGTTCCCAAAGATTCTGACCCTGAGTTCTCTTAAAATAGCCTATTGATAAACACAGTTACTAATGTCATGATGCACAGATAATTTAGAGCAAAGGCTCTCAGACTCTTAACATAAGTCATTCTCAAACGGCTAAATCTGTAAGCCTTACATTTAGGCTAGAGCTTTTAGAGGATCCCTACCAGAATAAAAGACTTTAGACCAGTGGCTCTCAAATGTTTTCTCTGTTGTTCCCAAAGATAACAAACCCCACTCATAACCTGCAGTTGTTTATTACTTACTGTGTCCCCAAAATAACTTCTTCAAACAAACTGACATGGCCAATAAATTAATTTGATCGAATTTATTCTAATCTTGTAAGTTAGTGTTTAGTTGCTGCTTCTGCCTTTAAACCTTTAGTAGATGCAGAGTGAGTGTGTGTGTGTGTGTGTGTGTGTGTGTAAAGGTTCCAAACAGAGAGAAATAAAGTCAACTTTGCCGTTATCATTTGGATTAAAGAAAACATACGGTCACTTATAGCAGAAGTAGGCAGAGGTGAAATCATAAAAGGGTTTACAATACAAATAGTTAGTCGATAAAAATAAATCTAGAACGTAGTGAAAATGCTCCTACCAAATACCTGAATGGCTACACCTTTGTCTTATTGTCCAATAACTGTCTGTGTCTCTGTCAGCTTCAGCTCCAGGAGTCTCAGAGGATGGTTCAGGGGAGGACACGGAGTGGAGAGAGAGAGTTGGAGGAGTTTCAACAAAACTTGGAGTCCCTCAAGGTGACACACACACACACACCAACAAGGCTTCCAAGAACTAACAAATTATTTATGTCAAGTTGTGAATTACCGATTGTTAACACCACTATTTAGGCCTGTGATATCGGCTTAATTGATTCACTGAGAAATCAGCTGGTGCACCTTTAATAAACATGGAACATACTAACTGTTGGGGGGCAACTTTATATTATAAAGTTTGTGTAATATAGTATATAGTCTGTGTATGTCTCTGATGAAGCTCTGAGCAATTAATTTTATAATAATGATGCTGGTCTCTGCAACTAATTAAACTTTATTAATGATAATGATGATGAACTTTATTTGCCCCTTCCATAATGTAGATCAAAGTGCTTTACATCAAATTGTATTACATTTGCAAATTCCAGCTGCAATCTGGCTGCCGGAGCTGATCGCGGCCATTCTAGACAATGTTTGTGATTCCACCAATACGTTTGAGGCGCAGCCCAGAAGCGGCTATCCACTCTGCTTTGTGGAGAATAAGCAGCTAGTATTTTAATGGAAGCTGCAGCAATCTGCACAAAACCGAACTGGACAGGAAGTCAGACACAGAACACTGTGTGCAGACTCCTGGTCACATATATCAACAATAAACACAATTAGACAAAAAATAAACCATTTAGCTATACCATTGTGATCAATAGTTGTGATCTCAACATTGAGCAAAGTAATTAATGCAAGTTATGCAGCCATAATATGATGCAGTGTATACAGTAGTGCTGCATGGTGTGCGCTATGTAAAGCACATAAGATGAAGAGTTGCATAATTAGACTTGACGTGACAATAACACAACTGTCCGTGCACAACACACACAACCTCCCCTCTAATATCAGGCTCACACATTCTCCTCTCTCTGTCTCTGTCTCACACACAAGCACTCAGCCTCACAGGAGCTGTTACATCAGTTTCCATTGCAAATCTAATTTAAGTTCCACTTTCTATGCCACTCCTTCCAGGAAAGCCTTTTCTTCTCCATCCCCTTTGCATCATCTCCATCCATCCAGCTTGTGGCTGCTTTAGCTTCTTGGAAAACCGCTGTATTGGCTCACTAAAACATCAGATTGAATCGTCTTGTGCACTGCTCAGATGGTGGAAGTTCATTTCTGGCCACAGCTAAAAGAAATTACAATCCAGATAACCTGCATAAAGTTTTTATGCTTTTATGTTTTTTTTTTTTTTGTTATGTGCCCAAAAAAGGCCCGCCAAATCATACCATCCATGATATATCAGTATAATGTTTTAATGTGACCAAAAAATTAATATCCTGATAAGGGCAATAATCAAACTTGTTGATGTGATGACATACCATTAAACACTGCTACAACAACGCCTCAAGCAGAAGTTGAGTACGGGGAGAGCCAAATGTCCCGCGAGGAGGATTATGAGTTCAAAAATATTTTTCAGTATTTTGTCATATCATTATTGCAGAAATGCCCTGAAATATCATGATATTTTATGACTATTTTAGGGCCATATTGCCCACCTCTATTGCTACACATGTTTTACTTTAGGAAATGAAATGAAACACGCGTCATGGTAAAATTACATTAAATGACGACCATACTCCCTTAATCTGACATGATTCCTGTTGGACGATGGTGGAGCGGGACATAACACATCACTCTAAACTTTAAAAATATCAGATATTATTGATAAGATATTGTTGAGATGTATGAGTTCTTCAGAAGATTTGAGGGCTAGGGAAAAAAAGGACAAACACAAACCCGTGCGAGTTTTTTCTTTTCTGTGTACATTGGCAGATGCGGTTGTTATTAAAGATTCACCATTTCTTAGAGAGTGACCGTTTCCTAGAATTTTTGGTTACGTGTTTACTTTGTTCTACTCTAACTAGTCTTGTGTTCTACCGTGTGTTTGTGTGTGTGTGTGTGTGTGTTTCAGGTGTCAGTGTCAACTGTTTTGGAGGACAGTGAAGCTCTGTTTGCAGACATGGCACTCCGCCTGGAGAAAACCAAGGCAGAGGTGAGGAGCAGCAACTACAAGTATTAGCTCTAATGTTACCAGCAGCTGAAGTAGCCTGTGAAGCAGTACAAGTTAAAATAGTTCCTGTATTCCTGTATTAAACAATTTGTTCAATGCTAACAATATAGTCATTCATACATCTTAGTTAAAATGACATCGGTTGCTCAGATCTATCTGATACGCTAGTTTAATTTGACAGAAAATCCCAGTTTCAGCTTCTCAGAAAGAAACCCTCGCACTGAAAACTGAAATCCAGTGGAACAGAAGCAAACACAGAAGTGGCCTAGGATTTCTTTAATAAATAAAAGTATTTTATTTTATAACTGCATACTGTGATAGGCTAGTTTAAAAAAAAAAAGAAAAAAAATACAGTTTAAGAAGGGGTGCTCCAAAGCTAATCGTTCCAAAAAGTAATGTCATTACACAGCTGGCAGTACTGAGCCACTGAAATCTAAATACACATACAGTGACAGAAATGTTTGGAATCTGTGTGTGAGTTAATGATGGTAGTGTTGCAACAATGTTAATGTAATCTTTCACTGTAGTTAACACAACTTTAAGCATTTGAAAAAGACTATAAAGTGGCATTTTGACCATATTCTACAAAATTCATTATCTTTCACTGATACGCTGCTATGTGTAGCAGTACACACTTCTTTTTACACTCTTATCATATCTGTAGGTCAGAATCATTTCTTACTTGGCACATTACCGCTGCACTCGTGGTACTAAAAGGCACCTCGGATCAGAACATCTACTTGTGTGCCCCAGGTTCGAGCGAGGCTGGAGGCGAAGGAGCGAGCTGTGGTTGGGAGAGCCGAACGAGACATGGAGATGCTGGAGAAAGACCTGGAGGAGCTGAGGAGGAGAGACAAAGAGATCAGCCAGCTTCTGCAATCTGATGACAATGCCCATTTCATACAGGTGAGATGGAAAAAGAGGGTGGATATGTTTATTTATTTTATTTTTTTGTCAGGGTTGCAGTCAGTCTACAGAAACACATTTCCCTCTTATTGGCTACCATCCAATAAGTCCACAGGGAACTTTGTTAGTCTTGAATTGCATTCTTTTGTTTTTTCGAAATCGTTACAGCTAACTGGTCAGAAATGCTGAATCAGAGCTAAATGAAGCTGAAAAATTATATTCCAATAATATTAGATAGAAAATAAAATTTTACCAAGTGAATTTTATTAATTTCTAAAGTAAGCTAATTTGTTGGTGAGGTCAGTGTTTTGTGAGTAAGTGTGGAGGGGAAATGGATTAATTAACAGCTGCATGTCTAAACTGATAAAGTTACATCAAGCTGACAGCACACATCAGGACTCATTATCTCTTGAGAGGTTTTCTCTCCAATACACAGTCACAACACATTAGCAGTGGTGAAATGCAACTAAGTACATTTACTCAATTTCTGTGCACAAGTATAATTTTGAGGTAATTGTTTTTTACTTGAGTATTACCTTTTATGCTACTTATGAAATACAATCTATTGTTAAATATTAAACATGTGGCTGCCAACCTCTGTGGCGTGTCCAGTTGGAAACCCCTTGTCATGTTTCAAATGTCATAGAGTTGTTAACAGTTCCAACAAGGAGACTTTTCAGATGTTTTCCTTTTAATAACAGATCTAATTATCCAACATTTCACAAAAAACAAAGCTGTAATGGTGAAATGCAACATTGATGTATCAGTATTAACAATCTAATAATTTCATATACATATATAATAGTATATCAGTCACAGGGGCCATTTTTCTGATACTTTCAAGGTGCAATGTGTAAGATTTGACAAGAATTTTAATTTAAAACTCAAAAAATGAACTAACCTTATGAACAGAATGTGAAGAAGTAACTGTCTTTTTTGCAGAGATGTCTACTGAAGCTAACATACTAACCAGCTAGCCCTGGCCTCTCCTGGGTGCTCTACTTTGTACCTCAAGAGGCAATACATTGGTTCATTTAGCTGACGCGTTTATCCAAAGCGGACTTACAATTGCTAGGTCACACACTGGTGGATGTGTAAGTGGGGGATTGAACCCGGATCTCTCACACCATAGGCACGTTTTATCCACTGCTCCATCACCACCCCACATAGAATAGTATGGCTCAGCTCGGTTAGCTGTGTTTGGTCCTGATCCAGTATTTATACATTGGTATTGGTACTTTTACTTAAGTAAATGATTTGAACACTTCTTCCACCAGTGCACATTAGCAAGTCTTGCGTTTAATATTCACCCCCTTAGGTCTAATGCATCCTGGAGGCCATTAGAACTTACCAGAGTGCGTACTGAGACATGCCCAGAGAGATTCATTTGTAGATGAATGATGGAGGATGAATGGATGAGAGGAGATAATGAGTCCGCAGTGACCAGAGGAAAAAGACAGCACCTGCTTAAGTGCTATTTTCAAATTCAATAGTACAAGGAATTAAGGAGGCAGGGAGGGCGGGCTGTAGATGCTGTATTTTCCACTCTCTTTATCAACCCAGGCAGCTCCCTTGCTGTGCGTCCCTCTCACCACCGCTCGGCACTCCAGATCCGTCAGCCTTCCCACAGAGGCTTTCAGTGGCGCCAGGAGAGTACTGTGCCACCTCCGCAGCCGCATGGAGGAAGTCTGCAGGGAGGAGGTGGACAAGATCAGCCGCACAGGTACAGCTGATGACCCAAAGACAGGAAGATGGTCAACAAGGATGATGTGATATACTGAATACTAATGTGTGCTGAATACTCAAATGAGCAGGTGCTCGCTCCTACTGCAAATTTTATATTTGAGTGAATACCATTTAAATATTGCAATAGATTTTGCTATACGAAGTGCCAAATGTGTGCTCATTTTAATAATATGATTACGTCTCTCTTCCAGTCAATGAGAACTACGTGTCTGGTGGAGAGTGTGTAAAAGGTAAGCACAAGAAACATCCAAATGCAGACACCCTCTGTGACAGTGTCAGTTCTGCAGTGACCCATTTTTTCCAGGCTGCAGGTTTTGACATGACATTTAACGCTGCAAGGGACAGGGGACATGTTAATTATTCATGCTGAAGACGACAGAGCGATGTCTGATACAACACACTCTGGCTCATATCCAGCACTGCTCTGTTCCAATCAGTTCACTTTAGTTTAATTGGAAGCAATCAAATTCAGTAAATGAGTTTAAATTATTTAGTTTTTAAGTGTTTCAGTGACAGCCACAGAAGCTGTACTGTAGAGCCACTGTTCGAGTAAAAGGTTATATGACGTAACTAGGCTAAAAAGTGAGATGAATGGTGAACTGAAAATGTTTCTGTTCTCACTTTGGCCATATTATGTTATGGTAGACAATAATACATATTTCCAAAAAACTTCGATGTGGTCATGATAATTTGGTAGAAAATAGTTCTCAATGAAAACTGTTAACAGGTCATTGTTAATATTGGAATTGTCAAGTTAAAAACAAAATAAAATACCATTCATATCCATTGTATTGGGGAGGTGGCAGAAATCTCTGTGTGGAGAACTCCAAACCGCAGCATATACAACCTACACTATCAGCACGGCAACATACCACTGAGGGTAAGTGGAAAAATGTGGGGTATTGGGTAAATTTTTGGTGAACTGTTTTTTCTCTTTTTTAGCTTGCTAACTAATTTAAGTTAGCTTAGTTTTATGCTAAGCTAACTGTTCATTGGCCCCAGCTTCATGTTGAACAGACCGATATTAAAGTGGTATAGTGTAGGATGTTGTGAAGTGGGAAGAGTTATTTTGCGCGCCCCTTGTTCTGAAAGTAAAAGTCCCATTTATTTTCCCTATGGACAATGTTATGTGACTTGCAGTTGCAGCAGTTGGGTGGAAACTCCTAGTTGCTCCAGAGGCGTGCAAACTCTGACATATATAGCAATTGTAAGTCACTTTGGATAAAAGCGACAGCTAAATGAATGATAATATAAGTAACAGAGGATATTGATTAAAGAAAAAAATTAAATGGGAGCACAGAATGTGGAAAAACACCTCCAAAACCAACGGCCCTAACTAATACCTATATTGATCTTATCATCAGACACTCCGTGAATAAACATATTTCCCAAAATGCCGTACTGTTCCTTTAATGATAAAGCCACTTTTTGTAGGATTTAAACAGTTCCATACTTTGGCTCCATCTCGTGGTAATTTCAAGAACGTGAGATAAATGAGCTAAAAGCAACACATTAATTAGTCTTTTGTCTAGTTTTTCCACAAATAAAATCTTGTGCGACCGAAATTATTCAATGCTACTCACAAGGTCTACATGTAGTGACTTTATTATTTGGTACTAAAGCTACATGCACAAATGCCTGTAAAGCATCATTATTTCCCCTCTGTGTGGGTTCTCTAACTGTAACTTTGTTCGTTCCTTCCTATTTTGCTATTCATACATATTTCTTAGGTGTTCTCCATTTCTGTCTAACTCCTGCTCTCTTCGTTCTTGTTTTCTGCCTTTTTATTTCCCCTTATTGTCTTTTGTTTGTCTCACCCACTTTGCCACTCTCTCAATCCTGTTGAATGAATTTATTACATTCCATTTATTTTGATTATATGGACAAAAGTATTAAATACTAGTTTCTCTGTGTCTTTCTCTCATGTGTCCCTTATCAGCAGTGCCGATGTCGTTCCCTCTGTCCTCTTTGTCTCTGCAACCGGCAGATCAGAGGATGAGGGCAGTTTTCCTCAGGTGTAAGTACCATGTCTATCCTCCACCCCCTCCACTTTTTGTCCCTTTCTCCTTCCTTCCCTCTCCGCATCACTTCTCTCTCTCTGGTGCACCCATTCAGCATGACCTTTATGCATGTCATTCCCCATCTTGCCCTCCTTTTCTTTCTTCTTTCCATGCTTGTAGTTCAGATAATGAGAGTCCTGCTGGGAAATCTGAGACCCCAGTCTGGATCCTCATCAATGCTGGAAGGCAGTCATACTGTATTTATGACATCCAGGTTTGTCATTAAGACCAGTGCCTTCTCTCGACAGAAACAAGGCAGCTGACAAGATGACAGCGTACCATCACTTTGTTAGGCATTAATAATTCATTTGGTCAGAGGTGGATTAGGTCTGTGTGTGTCATTTATTCCCTCTGTGCCAAAATGTCAACTGAAGCACTGTCCCAATCAACTCTGAACTCTGAAACCTCTAACAGTGGCAGAGTAAAGATGAGAAACAGGAAAGAAGTCAAGTCTCTCTGGCTGAATATCATGGTCATTTTGTTTGGGGCTGTCTAAATCTCAATTCATGCCTCATAAGCTTTTCTCTTTCTTCTCGGTTTCCTTCCCTCCAGTTTTATGTCGTCTGTCCTTGGACCGTGACACCGCCCACCCTACTCTGGTTCTCCTGGAGGGGCCCCAGGGTGCCCACTGTGGCGAGGAGCCCCAATCCTACCCGCCTCACCCCCAGCGCTTTGATTCAGTGGCCCAGGTCCTGTGCAGGGAGGGCCAGTTTGGCGGTGCCAACTACTGGGAGGTAGAGTGGAGGGGCGGGGGATGGGTCGATATTGGCGTCACCTACCGAAGCATCGGACGCAAAGGTGGAGGAAAACCCTGCCTGCTGGGGCGCAACGAGAACTCTTGGCGGCTGAGGTGTACACACGCTGGATATGCAGCCTGGCATGACAACCGCAAGACCACAGTGGCTGCACCACCCTGCCCCAGAATCGGCGTGTTCCTGGAACGGCAGAAAGGAGCGTTGTCCTTCTACAGCGTGTCGGACACGGTGGTGCTCCTGCACACCTTTCGTTGCCCGTTCTCACAGCCGCTGTACCCGGCCTTCCGCCTGGACCTGGACTCCACCCTGCTCATCTGCCCCCATGAGGGAGGCAATGGAAACCCAACCTAACTTTGCCCCCATTCTCATCCAGGACCCTTTATTTAAATACTACAGGAAAGGGCTGTTCACTCTGCTTATGAATATGAACCATAAGAAATATTACTGAAGAGCAGCTGGTGCAGAAGGAACAACATCAGGAATCAAGCACTTTTCTTTTTACATGTTCTTACATGTCTTTTTGCATATTCTCTCCATCTGTGAGAGTCTTTCACAGACAGATATTTCTTTATAATTTTATAGAACATCCTCTTTGATTGTAAACCCCTATTTTTGGCTTGCTGCGTAACACACACTGTAGTTGAAATTTACATAACGTGCATTTTTCACAGCACACATTATGACTTGTCATAGTAGGAAAAGCAAAAAAGGTGTTACTAATAACACTGACAAATGCTCTGCTCTGTTCTAGTGTTACAGTAAGCCATGCCAGTATGATAGTGAGCCAGCAGACAAAATAGCAGGATGCTGAAACGGAAACAGCTAAATGGAATTTTAAGCTTTTCCTTCTGTTACATGTCAAAGTATTAATCCTGAAAGGTTTGTAAATCAAGTCACTTTAGCCTTTGCAATCTGTACAACAAACAACACCCTCTGTCCTTAGACCCTTGATCTGAATGAGGAAAAGCTTCCCAAAAAACAGAAAAAGAAACTCAGGAAGAGCAACAGAGGAGGGAACCCTCTCCCAGGACGGACAGGCACGCAATAGATGTTGCTATACAGAATACATTCACAACAGAGTCATAGTATATACGATTATGATGACAAAATGTTTACTGTATAACATAAGTGAAGAGAATGGATCCAGGAGGACAACTGAGCAGCCTCAGATGTTGTCCACTAACTGGGATCTGAATCACACCACCTCCTCTCCACCATAGAGACCTGGAAAGAGGACAGGCTACACAAACACAGAAGAGGAGAACACTATTCACACAGAGAGGAGAAACAAACAAACACACAGATGGATCCCAGCACAGAGAAGCCCGAGTGCAAGAGGGGGGAAGGAGGAGAGGCTAGGGAGATAGAAGGGAGGGGAGCGAGCGAGAGGCAGGCATGAACAGCTTGGTAGCTTTTAGGACAGAAATGCAGTCGATAAAAAAAACTGCAGTATGTATGTTAGTTGAATTCTCGTCAGCAGCATAAACATGGACTGTAAGCACTAATGTTAATAGATTCATTGAGACTGAGACCGACCCGCTGGAAGGAAAGTGGCTGGTACGAGGCCTGAAGTATAATATGATAAGTACTAATTGAGAGTTAAAGCAAAAAGATGAATTGAAATACATCTTATGGTTTGAAATCTGAAAAATAGGTGTTTTTATTCAATTTGCTGATCATTGTGGGACAATGTTTTTTATAATGAATCAAATACAAAGATACTAAAATTATTCACCCTGTTTGTGTTTAACATTGTTTTATTTGTACTAAAAAGTAGTTCTAAGTACATTTTTGTGAATTTGTACATTTGACAAGTATCAGGGCGTGGATTTTTTTTTTTTTAGCTCCCTACAATGACAGGCTGAATATCTAGTACCTGTGACTACTTGAATTCCTACAGCAAGATATTTTTCTGTATCAACTTCACTGCCATGTGACATGAGCAACCTCACACAGTTTTCATAATGACAATGTGTGACCTCAGCTTCAGCTTTAGACAAATTAAAGGCCATATTGTAGCACATGTTTTTCTTTGGGTCACTAGGCCATTTTTGGAGAAAATCTCTTTAAAGTAGAATACCATAGGTTAAAGAATTAGTTATGCTTATTTACTTTCTTGGAGATAGTTAAATTATGAGCTTTATACCACTCTCCTGTCTTTACTATTTCTTTAAGGCTACATTCAGGTCTTCATTCTCAATTTCAAATCTCATTTCTGTTTTTTGAGTACTATCAAGTCTTTGTCAGTATATAAGTAATATTCAGTGGATGATTACATGTTATAAGGCACCTCATACACACCATCATTGCCGTGGTTGTCTCCACTTTGCTAATGCTGTGTCAGGCAAGCCACACAATCCTATTATTATCTCATATCCAATCATATCTAATCAAGTCATATCTTATTATTACCTCATATCCATTCAGTCAAGATTGGATTTGAAAAAATGTGACTTGCTGTAACTTTAAACTGTTCACATGGATAAGAGAATGTCAGATGGGCGTGTAAATAAGAAACATCAGAACAAGATCTTGAACTACTTCCTGAACAGTTTCCTTGTAGCATTGCAAAGGACAAGGATTCACTTGCAACGTGATTTTCAAGTGTGCGAGTGACCTCACCTTCCATCTGAATGGATGCCATACTGTAGCCACAGTTTTTCTTGGATTATGGGGTTGCTTTTCTGTGCCTCATTGAAGTTTTGTTTTTGAATGGTGCTATTTCAGAGCATTATGATCATTTGACCGAGCACTGTGTGAGGGCTTTCAACCAAATTATTTGTGAAATGGAAATGTCATACAAAGATCAGCTACTTTAATTCCAAAGACACAACATCACACAGGTACAAAGAATCATTTTTCGAGGGCAAGTTGTAAACAGAACACGTATTACTACTAACAGAAAACCTGAAAAATACATCTGCTCTGCACAATACACTGATGGTTTCAACTCAAAGCAACTCTGTTAAATTATAATTCAGAATTTGCCAACCGTATCTCATCTGGCAGGTCAGTCCAAAGTAAGACTTTATTTTTTTTTGCCATGAAGTGCATTATTCCACAAGCTGTAGGACTGTAACATGAACTCAACTGCCCATGCTGGTTTGTAAAATGTTTCTTGTAGCATCTTGAACTTGTGTACTCGCTGTGCTTCAGTTATTGTTCCTTAATGTGACTGTAAAATGTGTTGTAATTGTCTGAGTGTTGCTTTTTCCAAGATGAGTTTATTCCACCTTGGCTCGCAATAAACTGATCCACGTAGGTCTGAACTGGCAGTCTGAGGCTATTTATGAAGTATACTGCCTTTGTTATGTACTTATGGCAGCATATCCAGTCATTGGTTGTAGTACGTAAAGTTTCTCATACAGTGTTTTTGTACAATAATGACATTTACAGTTTTTATTCTCCTTGTCGTAAAAATGCCTTAACTTACATTAAAAAAAAACAACAAACACAAACGAGCTTTAAAAAACTTTATCTTACTTTTTTTGTCATTTGGTAATTCAAATTTAAATGACAAAATGTATCTTTTTTCTTTGCATCCTTCTCTGAATACTTATCTGTGTTGTCCCACAGGGCTCTACTTTAATCCCCATCTTATTCTCCCTATACATGCTGAGAGTCATTCATGTTATCCACAGCCTACTGACTAGCCTACTTTTAAACCCCAATGACTTCAACAGTCTTGGGGATTGCAGTGTCCTAAGGCAGTGGTTCTCAAACTTTTTCATGTCAAGGACCCCTAAACTGACACAAATTAGACCACAGACCCCTATTTGATCAGATTTTGTCCCAGGGTGATTACAGAAAGTGTATGAAACCCATGACCAAAATAGTCATATGTTCTGTCATTGTGTTACTTATGGATGGAATTATAGTGAGTGGAATTTTTGCTGGTTACCCCATGGAACCCCCTCAAGGACCCCTGGGGCTCCCTGGACCCCACTTTAAGAACCACTGTCCTAAGGGAGTCAAAATGTGGAAGTGGTTAAGGGTATGCTCCATCATCATTAGGCTTCAAGACCAATTTAATACACCAGCTGGCTCCTCAAATGTGAGCATTTTTATTGCTTTATGTAGGTCTATATTTTTTATGCCTGTGGATTTTGTCCAGTGGGTAAACCATAACAAGAATGTGAAGAATTTACCTGGTAATTTAGCCAATACAAAAATGTATAGATCAATTGATAACAACAAAAAAATATCCTAGCATGCTAGTACATGATTATGTTATCAATAGCATTACAAGAGTGTTTCTGGTTTGGACTGGCAAGAATCCCTGGACTACGGATAACTCCAAAAATATGTACGTTTCAGGGGAACAGTTTATCTCCACCTACGGAGTGAGTCATGTTACTGCACACATACTCTTTGCCTTCAGTTTGCCTGTAGTTTGTTTGTTTTTTTACCCCGTGTGTGTTGTGCCTGAGAGTCCAAACTGAGGAAACAAAACGCCCTAATTTCACCGGCGGGATCTTACCACGTGATGCCATAGCACATAAACAGATGTCACATGATTTCTAGGGTTTTTTCCAGCATGGCGGCAGGGTCGCAGCAGCTGGCTGTTCCCCTCCTGTTCATCGTCAGTGGTGTTTTAAGTTTTCCTCTTGGCCAGGAAACCAAAGAGAGTGGCACTTGCGGATACGAGGTCAGCTGCGTTTTACTTTTCTTCATTTTTTCTGTGTGTGTTTTTAGTTGTTTAACGTCACTTCGCTAAAACGGATGACTTTCTATTCCCCGTGGCTACTTTCAGTTTCATTCAACCGCCTATTAAATTTAATTTCCTGTTTGTTTGGGAAATGAGATTACTCTGAAAATAACTGGACGAATTTATTTTATTAATTAAGCTCTAACGTTACTGCCTTTAGTGTCTTCTTTAACAAAGTGTTAACTAAACTAGTAGCCCAGTGCTGTAGATGTGGATGTGCCTTAGTGTGTTTTTGTGTGTGCGCAGTCATGTCATGCCACCAAGCCCAACATGCTGAATGTCCACCTGGTCCCTCACACACATGACGATGTCGGCTGGCTCAAGACTGTTGACCAGTACTACTATGGAGGTCAGTCTGACATAAACAAACACACACACGTTTGTTCCTGTATCCATGGGGACACCTTCTTGACATAATGCATTCCCTGGCCCTTTATGTTCACCTTAGCCTAATTCTAACCTGAATACTAAAACCAAGTCTTAACCATCAAAAAGCATTCTCTATCTGTGGGGACCTCAATTTGTAGACACAGTCCCCATCGGTTAGTGTGCAATTAGTCCCCGTACATGAAACACTCACACTGAATATACCTCCCACACATCCTCCTTCCCCATCTTTAAAAAAATAAAGGAACCAAATTTATATTCAGAACGAGCACATTGCGTATTGAGTTATATTTTTGCTGAGCTTACACACATAAGGAAGAAAATTAAATGAGATAAAAACCACAACCACGTTTTGTGGCTGCAGTGACAGAATGTGTAAACTACCTAACTAGGCCAAATGTAAATTAACAAATACATGCACATCTGTCCCAAAATGTCTCATTCACCTCTGTCTAAATAACAAATTTAAACTGTGCCAGTTGTAGTGAGAACGGCCGTTCTGCAGGTGCAGGTCATCGTCTCTTGACCTGTGTGTGTGGTTATATAAGCAGAGATTATCTGCAATATAAATAAATATCTAATATGTACTGTGTGTATGTTCAGATTTTGTTCATGTATTTGTGCAATATGATAGGTCAGGGTAAACACAGACTCTGGTGTTCTTTAGTTCAACCTAAGAATATGTTTCACAAATGTTAGATGTTCTTTCACCGCAGTGAGCTTCTTGGAGCTGTGATTCCTACATTTGTGTATCTGTGAATAGATCGTAATGACATCCAGCATGCGGGGGTGCAGTACATCCTGGACTCAGTGGTGGATCAGCTGTTGAAGAATCCGGACAGGAGGTTTATCTATGTGGAGACGGCGTTCTTCTACCGCTGGTGGAAACGGCAGAGCGCCAGCATGCAGCAGACAGTCAAACAACTGGTTAATGAAGGTACATGAACCAACACTGAACATTTATGGTTAATTTTGGAAGGGTTTCGCTCCATAACCTGACTAACGCCCCACCACCACCCCCACACCCACCAGGCCGTCTAGAGTTTGTGAATGGCGGCTGGTGTATGAGTGACGAGGCCACAACCCACTACAGCGCCGTCATCGACCAGATGACCATGGGCCTGAGGTTCCTCAATGACACTTTTGGGTCTTGTGGTCGCCCCCGTGTCGCCTGGCACATTGACCCCTTTGGCCACGCCCGCGAACACGCCTCCATGTTTGCGCAGGTAGTTTATCTTAAAGGAATAGCTCAGCATTTTAGGAAATGCATGTCACTCTTTCACAGAGAGTTAGATTTTAAAAAAGTTGGTTTTGCAGGTTATTATGTGCTGGATTATTTCTTGGCTTGGCTGTAGTGTCTTCCTGGAGTCACAGCGGGGTTGCAACGCAGCCAGCAGAGACTTCAGCAACACTTGGGATTAAGAAATAAGATATAAGGTGTTAATTTGTGAGCTTTTTTTGTTGCCTTTTGACAGAGCCAGGCTAATTCTTTCCAGTTTGTATGCTAAGCTAAGATAACCAGATGCTGGCTATAGTATCATATTTGCTGTGCAGACCAGAGAGTGGTGTCAATCTTCTCATTTAACGCTCAGCAAGAAAGCAAGCAAGTAAGCTTTCAAAATCACAAAAGATTCCTTCAAGACCTATTCAGCGAAATATATTGCCTTAGCCTTCGTAGCCAATCCACGGCTTCAAGCTTGCAGCATTGGAGCTTGCAAACATTCATCTCTGAGCTTTATGCTAAATGTTTCCTGTGTGTTTTATTCCAGATGGGGTATGACGGCCTCTTCTTTGGCCGTCTGGACTACCAGGATCGGGCTCGCAGGATGTCCAAGAGGGAGCAGGAGCTTCTGTGGAGAGCCTCAGACAGCCTCACAGCCCCCGTGGCTGACCTCTTCACCGGTAACAAAAGCCCCCACACATGCACAAATGCTGCTTCTCTTCTTGATCGATTCTTTAATGTTGACTCGAGTTATGAAAATAAGGATTCTTCCACTTTATGAACAGATGACACATTTTTTTTGTAAATTGGTTGAACCAACCATTTAAACGTTTCCCTTTACTGCACCTCCCAATAGGCATCCTTCCCAACGGGTACAACCCTCCTACAGGGTTCTGCTGGGACCAGTTCTGTGATGACCCACCAATCAGAGACGACCCTGACCTGGAGGACTATAATGTCGATGATGTGGTGAAGCGCTTCATCAACATCGCCAGCAGTCAGGTTGGACACACATACACACATGACCACGCACTCACCTTAGCAAAGGCCCCCAAGTGAATGTTTGAAGGATATAATGATTAATGACAAGCTCGCTGTACACACGGTGTAAATAGTTTGAAAAGAAATGTCAATTCTTTAATTACAAGCTACATGAATCAACAACCATAAAGGACACGAGGACTGTCAAACTTTTCATTTTGATTTAGTGGCATGATTAGATGTGGTAGCGGTGTGGGTGTCTTTATAGCCACTCATTCGCCTCCTATTTTTCCTCTCTCAGGCTACGGTGTATAAGACCAATCACATTATCATGACCATGGGCTCAGACTTCCAGTATGAGAATGCCAACCTGTGGTACAAGAACCTGGACAAGCTGATTCACTACGTCAACGCCCGGCAGGAGAATGGAAGCAAAGTCAACGCGCTCTATTCTACCCCGTCCTGTTACCTCCAGGAGCTGCACAGAGCAAACCTCACCTGGTAGTCTGAACTTTAAAAGAGCTTGTTGGAGTACCAGTGTCAGAATTATAGCCATAATGACTGTTGAGTGTGCGTATTTGTGCTGCAACTTCATTCTCTTTCAACCCAGGGCTCTGAAGACAGATGATTTCTTCCCCTATGCAGACAACGCTCATGATTTCTGGACCGGCTACTTTACCAGCCGACCAGCACTGAAACGTTATGAGCGGATCAGCAACAGCAACCTGCAGGTAGTTTGAGGTCCACTCTTCGAGTCCAAACTAGGGCTGAACGACTAATTGCATTAGCGATATTATCGCGATATGATAAAACGAGATTTTCTAATCGCAAAGGCTGCGATTACGCTCTGGTCACATGGCACGCGAGAGTAAAGCAGTCTGCAGAGGAAGCATCAACTTCGCACATTACGCTGTATCTTGACTTGTTGTTGTACAATGGCCTTAGGCTTTACAGAAGCTGACTCCACAGAA